CCTACTCTTGCCCTCTGGGTCAGGAAGATAATGTCTTTGGCAGGTATTGATACCTCCACGTTTTTACCCCATTCGGTTTGAGTGGTGAAGGCCTCCTCGGTGGGTAGTCGCCTGGTGGATATTTTGAAAGTGGCTAATTGGTTTTCAGAATCCACGTTTCGGAACTTTTATTTTAGACGGATTCAACATTTTGCGAGAAATTTAATTTCCCAGCTTTAAACTAGCATAATATGAGCCTCTGTGTCTTTAATAAAATTCCTAGATTTTACTGTTAAACTTGACTTAAAGTCATGATTTTATTAATGACACGGAGGTGAGTGTTATCCCGCCCTCGCACCCTGGCGGAATCTATTAGGCTTCTAGGTAATTAATTTAATAAAAGGTCTATGGTAAGTAATTTATTGATATGTGTGTTACGCCTGTTATATCGGTCATGCTTGATATTTATCATGCATTGAATGTCGTTATGCTTAGTCTGGATACGCTAATAGTCTGATACTTAGAAGTTAAGTATGATAACTTATTACACTCTTGATATTATCATATTTCTTTTCTCTATCTAGTCTGGCTTGACTTCGCTCTTGAAGTGTTTTTTGAGTATGACAACAGCTTGTTGAAGCCGTTGATCTACTATTTGTTTACTTGTTCTCAATTCCTTGAATTATTATTTGATCCTATCTTTTTCGGGTTCACAAGAAAGAGGAAGTAGTTGGTTTGGCAACAATCATTATACCACAGAAGAGTTGTTGATTATCTGACCTTGTTACTAGGACATGTGATTATTTTTATGTTTTTTACACTGTGTAATTAAACTTTCTTTGCTGCTGAGTGAAAATAAAGAAGAGTGTAACATAATAATCGCCTCTGTGTCATTAATAAAATCATGACTTTACGTCATATTAATAGTAAAATCTGTTAATAGTGCTTCTATAATGTCCCCAGAATACCATGCAGTGGCAAGCAAACTAAATGTATGCAAAACTGTAGCAATGACTGTAAAATCTGTATTAAATTAATTCTAAATATGCCAATTAAAAAAAATTTACTTGCAGATTGCTAAATAGTACATTAGCAAGAAAAATGGGTAATATTTCTGTCTGGGAATGAACTATTTTATTAGTACATAGCTTCAATTTTGGTCAGCCTACTTTTTTGTATCTTTATTTATAAGCAAAAGAAGAAAAGTTATTTTTATGTAAAATCCTACAGCTTTTACTTTTGTTTACACAAATGTGGGGTCACATTGCTTGAAGAGCACACTTATTTATTTTTGGACTGTGATACCCCTATTTGGCATAACCATGTGAAACTGAAAACTACTGGGTACAAAATTTACTGACCCATGTGCAGCTGGAAGATTAGTTCCGATGAGATAGAATATCTCAGCCTGCATTGAATGCAGGAATTACTGTAGACAATATATAACTTTGCATTAGAACGTGCCATCACTCAACAAAATGTTCTTAAATTTTAGAAAATAAACTTATACGTCTCAACTTTAAAGTAACCAATGTTTAATGTGTATGTTTAATTATACTGATGGTTCATTTATTTTTTACTGAGTATGTGTTTATTAAATGTATGCATTTTACTGATAAGTATGAGGAGTACTTTATCTCATAATGCCATTTAGGTAATGAATTTACAATACTTATTATTAATATTACAAGAAAATTTTATATTTTTGTTATACCTGGCTTGACATTCTAGCACAATAACGTAAGAAATAACTTATTTAATGTATTTGTGTATAGAACAGAATTAGTTATAGGGATTGCTTGTAAAAAATAATCAAATTTGACATTTTATAAATCTACATATTTTTTTCTCAAGCCATTATGCCGCCTGGCTCCAAAACTTAAATTCTGACCCCCCCAACAGTCATGCATGCACACGCAACCAATATGACGCAAACACACATATACATAGACACAATCACTCACAGACACATTGATACACTGGTAAACACACTCACTAACAGACACACACACACACACTGAAGTACAGAGCAAGACTTTTTGCCACCCAAGACAAAGGTATATTTTGCCACCCCTTGCTGACCCCATCCTCAGTCATGTTACATGTACACATACATTTCCACCTGCTTTCCATTACCTTGCTTCTCTCCAGCTCATTGCTCCTGTTTACACCATGTTCTTTGGACCTTTTCATTCTTACTGACCCCAGCACTTGATTGCATCCACAGCATTTCCAACAGTACTAAATATTGCTTTCACCCCCCTTTTCTTCCATGTCTCTCTCCCCTTTCTATTCATGTATCTCCCCTCCTTCCTTTCATGTCTCTCTTCTTCCTCCATGTATATCTCCCTCCTTCCTTCTATATCTCTCTCCCTTTTCATTCCATGTCTCTCTCCCCCTTCCAACCATATCTCTCTCCCCCCCTTCCAACCATGTCTCTCTTCTGCTTCCAACCATGTCTCTCTTCCCCTTCCTTCCATGTCTCTCTCCCCCTTCCATCCATGTTGCTGCCCTTTCCTTTTATGTCTCTGTCCACCTTCCAGCCATGTCTCTCCCCCCTTCATATTTCCCCCCTCTCACTTGCATGTCTCTCTTCTCCCTTTCCCTTCCATGTCTTTCTCCTCCTTCCTTCCATCCATATCTCTCCCCACTTCCTTCCATGTCTATCTCCCCCCTTTCTTCAATGCTTCTCTTCCCCCTTCCTTTCATGTCTCCCTTCCATCCATGTCTCACTTTCCCTTACTTCTAGGTTTCTCTCCCCTTCCTTCTATGCCTTGCTTCCCCCTTTCTTCCATATCTTTCTCCCATATCCATCCATGTCTTTCTCCCCTCTTCCTTCTATTTTCTCCTCCTTCTTCCACGTGTCTCTCCCCATTTTTTGATATTTCCCCTCCTCATTCCCAAGCAACAGTCAGCTGCCACCCTCACACTGCCAGAACCCTAGGCAATGGTAGCGTTGGCTCTGCTCACACACAGATTGTTGTCACCCTCCCTGCTGTTACACCTGTCATGGCAGGTTAGGAGGGCTCTCGATGCCCAGCCTGCTTCCTGCAGTTTTAGACTACGTGACACCTGGTGCTCCTACACAGAGTGAAAGGGGGGGAGGCGCTCCCCTGCTAATTTAGTGTGCATTCAGTTTTTTTATGAAGCCACAAAAAAAGAGAGAAAACAGGTCCATAACCAGACCAGTAGTATCTTCTGTAGAACTGTCTCAACCAGTGGAAACAATCATGACATTAGCTTCACCTGCTACCACTGGCACAAGAAGCTCACCCACTTTCAATGTTACCAGCACCACCACTACCAACACCACTAGTACTACAATCATCAACAGCACCAATACCAGCACCATCAACATTTCCATTAACATTTATCAACCTAGTGCTAGTGTACAGGCTAATGTTGTGCCAACTTCCACTGTCCGTGAGATCACAATGAATGGTTTACTTTATTAGTTATAAAAAAACGTGCTTGGTTTTTATACTTTTGTTTGCTTCTTAATTACCAGACTTTTGGATGCTACTTGATATTCTTGCACCCTTGGACATATAGTTAAGGTGGATGCTAGCAGTTTCTTACAGGGAAGTTGATAATGGGGAGGTACTTGTGCCCCAAAATGTACCTCCCCAACTGTAGCCCCAGATGTTTTTATGCAGGGTGCCTTTATGGTTCATTGGGAAGATCAATGTTCTTCCTCACCAGCCCATTGTGTAGGCTGAAAGAGGGAGCCCTGTTGAATGTAAACCTGCTATATGGGAATGAAGAGCTCCGAGAAGTACCGAACAACATTCTTTTTACTACTACTACTACCTGCAAGGCCCATTACAGGAGGTCTTTGTTGGGCACAGATTGAGAGCAGAGAGAGAGAGTGGATCCCCACACTGCACTTCCAGGACTCAGCATGAATTCCTCTCACCCTGTCCCAAAGTAACCAAAGGAAGGGGCAATAAACTATATATATATATGTATATATATATATTATTTTTTTTATAGAAATTTTTAAAATTTTAAGATTTGTAAATTTAAGCCCCATCCCATGCCCACCCTTCACACCAAATCTCTCCTTTGTAAATAACAATAGACTTGGAGATTTGTTTTGGTACAAATTGCATTTTCTCCAAACTTGGGCCAAGTGAAAGACCCTGTATCTAATAAATGCTATTCCAGTATGTTAATGTGCATGGCAACTGTGGCACTATTATTCTCTCAATCTCACTCAATCTGAGTGGATCAGCAGTGCTGAAGTAATGACAGCTCTGAATTAAAAGTAAGTTTAACTGTTTTTTTTATTTAAAAATGTGGGCCCAATGACATCCAAAGAAACACTCTATACATAATGTTAGTGTTCCTTTAAATAACACTTACTGCAGTATCCCCCTCCTGCAGTGCTGGAGGGGTTAAACCCCTTCAGTCACTTACCTGAATCCAGCGGCGATGTCCCTTGGGGGGAGACCTAATGTGTATGCACGCATTATGATTTCCCCACAGGAAAACATTATTCAATACTTTCCTAAGGGGAAAAATCTGACGCTGGAGGTCCTCATACATCCAGCGTCAGATAACAGACCAAAGGTCTGTTTCGATTCCGAAAGTCGTTCTAGTGGCTGTCTGGTAGACAGCCACTAGAGGAGGCATTAACCCTCAGACGTAATTATTTCAGTTTCTCAGAAACTGCAATAATTACCACTGTAGGGTTAAGGGGCATGGGACATTGCACCCAGACCACTTCAATGAGCTGAAGTGGTCTGGCTGCTTACAGTGTCCAGCTCTAAAGTATTCACTGTTTATAAGAGGAGGCAAACCTGATATGCCCATCAGAATAATGCATTATTTTATTTTTCCAATTGCTCTGTTTTTCAGGTTTATTTTTGGAAGTGATATGCTTTCTTTGCGAACTTGAGAAGTCAGTCGATGCTACATGGTGATGTCTTTCAACTTTATTCATAACACAAAGCAAAATCAGAGTGATAATCCAAATGTGGGAGCATAGGTCAATCCACACACATGCTTAAATAATGCCTTATTTTTGGAAGATTAACAGTTTTGTTTTTTTCTGTAACCATGGTGCTGCTATGCTATAAGTCATTACATCCAAGCTGACAGCTGTTAATAAAGCTGCGGTATCTCTCATTATGTTCAGCTGCTAAGCGTTGCTATTAACAATCCCATTCTAGTGATAACTGACCTCATGGATATTGTATGTTAGCAACTGTAAAATCATCATGAGGCACCCTTCACAGGAATTAACTGTCTTATGTAATGCCTATAATAAAAGCAAAAGAACTGTGGATTCTTTGTCTCTTAATTTTCTATATGATTTCTATGTGAACCACAGTTTTTCTTCAAGACTCAATTTTTCAAAATATAGGTCTTAAAGGGGCCCTGTCATCGGTGAATTTGTTTTTATAAAAACAGAATCTTTTGAAATCAAATTAGAAACTCATTGAGACTTTCACTTTTGAAAAGATAAAACATAATTAAGGATTAATATGCATTAAAAAATTTACCCATGTATTAACAATTTCTTAAAACCTATGAATAAGAATAGAACAGTCTCATGATGCAGTATTTTTGGATGTCACAATAAGGGGTGACCTAGGAAAATATATAAGACTTACAATATATAGGGAAGTATGCAGACTCAGTTTTATTTGCTCCTGTTGATGATCTCCAGTATAAGCAAAAAAAGTAGATTAGTCTGAGTATTGGCCAAGAAAAAACGAAACCGAAAACTCTCTCTGCAACTTTGGTTCACCAGAATGGAGGGATTCACTGCTATAAAATAACTTACCTATATTTCCTCAGGTCACATACAAACATACAACACAATTTGTGCCCAAATTCTAATGACAATGATATCTGATGATGTCAGGTGTTTTAATGTGATTCCTAAGAATTCTACTGTGGTAACCTGGACTTATGGTGATTATGACCATGGAACCCTTATATTCTTTTATGCTCATAGTGCTTGGTATACCCTTCCCCCTGACTATTGGATTTGATCATGTTGCTTTATATCATATGATTCCTGTTTTGTAATGCACATCAATGAAACACCACATTTTACAATGTTTATCCTTGTCTCTTTTGGAACCTGTTTTAATTTTTTTGTGGAAAATTGAAAATCCTGAGAAAGAAATTATATACAAAAAAGTAAGATAAAAGTTATTTTTTATGCATGCAAATTAAATTTTGCTCACATGTAAAATTGGCTGTTATAAGCCGCACATGTAAAATTGGTTCACGTAAGCCATACATGTAAAATTTGTTCACATAAGCTGGGAACAGATATCTTGTGAGACAACAACGATTGCCTATAGCATCTCATTGTATATATTCAAGAACATTTTATGGAGGATTTAGCATTCTCGAGTGATCTGTCAGAGAGCTTATTTTGTAATATAACAGTATACCAACGACTTGGTAGATGAAGACAGCACAAGCTGAATCACAAATTAGTAGCAAAGAGTAGAGAGAATTGTAAGGAAATATACCTCCATTACCACTCACGCATTGTGCCATCATACAAGCATAAAAATCAGATTAGGAGGTCATTGTAACCATGTTTAGACCCTACAGGTGACTGTTTGCTTTAAGTCAGTGCTGAAGATCCAACAACACTGTGGGTTTAAGGATCATCTGTGAAAAAAATAAAACAAGTTTAAAAATAAATAAATAAATCAATGGATTTGCCATTTTGACAATCTCACAATGCATCCAAGTAACTTCTGGATTTGTGAGGGAAAATAGAGAGATAAACATTGACTGGATCTGGTGAGGTCATGTCACCCACATCAAGCAGTTCTTAAATTACTTCTTGTCCTAACTTCCACCCACTGTGCCCACATACACTACTTGTTTTGATGCAAAATGACACCATGAAGGTGCATTTCTAGTTACGAATATAAAATAAACAAAACGAGACATGGGACTGCCTCTAAACTGTTAAAAATAGTATGCGTGCGTGCCAAACATTTTTTTCAGGCTAGGTTGGCTGCCCCTTAGCTGTACTTGCCAGCATGTATCACCCCCATGCCAAGCCGGGCATTAGTTACTGTTATTTTTTTAGGTTTTCAATTCTCCATTACTAACTTATCTGCAGTCTTACCAGTTCACACATCTTAACATTTTGATTCTCAATATGTTCTGAATATTTTCCAATTGTTTTCAAAGAACCATTAGGCATCACAAGGTAGTCTCAATTTTTGATTGGCCCTTTTGCTGCTGATTTCTTTTTAGTGTTACTTGTTTTTAAACCAGGTTGAGAATCAGGGAAAATATAGTTCACACATACCTTAGGTACCACTATATTGTATAAAACATGAAAATGTGCAATCTTATTTACAACTATCCGGTCCCCCTGGGGGTCATGTGAATAGGACTTATATAACAGGGGTAACCCAAAACACTCAAATTACAGTAATTCAAGTAATTCTATAAATTTAGGTAATTCTCTTAAATAAAATCAAAAATTAAAAAAAAGAAAAACTTTATTAATACTAAACAGCCTGGGACGTGGATATTCTACAACAAAACAATATAATCACCCTTTAAAATAACTTTGGAGACCTGGAGAGGCTACCACTAAAGTTAAATATAGCTCTACTTAATATAGTAATAACAATTCTAAGGCTAGATAAAGTCACTAATTAGGTTAGTTGCTTACATCACCCATTAAAAAGACTGCTTGAAACCAAATTTACTTTGTGTAGGATTAAAAAGCAGAGAAAGAATGGGTGCAAACCTCATCAATTAACACATGGACACGTATTTCATGTTCTCTAATTTATTTTTATTGTTGGGTTTTCTGTTTAAACGTACACCTTTCTCAAATTCAGCTCGAAATGAGCACTTAATGATTTTGTGGACTGGAGACTGACTATATATGTATAATATATTGAATCGACACCTTTACAAAAAGTTATAGTACAACATAGCCAAATGAGAATATAGCCAAGCAGGTGGGATTGTTTTTGCAATTCTTCCATTGAATCTTACACTTTCCAAATTCAATTTTCTTTTTAAAAGTAACTTCTATTTAAATGTACTGCTTAATCACTAAACTGGGAACAATGGAGGTTTCACCAAGGGAATATGCGTTTTAGGCCAAAACAGACAAACGCAAAATAGCTAGGCTAGGTGTGAATTTTTTTTTTTTCCAAATTCCAATTCAGCTATTTAGGCCAAAAATTTGCAAATTCTTACTTAATCTCCAGCAATTTATTGAATAACCCTAAATACATTATATAATTCAGTTGTGAATGAAATATTTTTTGTACTTTCTATGGAAAATATCTACCAATCTGAATATATGTTTTCTGTTTGAACTTCATCTTCCTGATAGCAGAAGGCAGTTATAATGCAAAGAAGATTGTATCACTTTAAATAAACATGATGGTAAAAGACAAGATGGTTGGCCTCTCTAACCACAGAATCAAATGTAATATACAACGTTAGAGTGACAATTACATTATATATCTCAGTCAATAAGATGCATCTGATCATGAAATGAAACATATATATATAAAAAAAAGAGGAAAATTATATATATATATATATATATATATATATATATATATACACAGCTAATATAATATATAGTTGGGCTTATTATCTTTTGTTATCCCTATAGTAAAGCCTGGTCCTCATTGGATTTGTTGTTTTGTCCGTTATCAGTGGGGTGAGTATTTGAGGACATTATCCTTGAGTTGATTTTGATTTGTGATTTATTATTTTTCATTTACTTTATATTTAAGGGATTCCTGATATTTTTACTATTTATAGCCCAAACTACCGAGACAGGATATTAGTTTGTTCACTTACATTTGGGTTCTCTATTACATTGTATGGATTTAATTGCAACGTATTAATTTAAGGAGACTAGATATATTTTGTTACCAGCGCTGGCTGGTAACTCTTTATGTGATTTTTATTCCTATCTCTTATTGATTTGGTAGATTTTTGCAAGGTGTTATGTTTCTTAGAAAAAAAGTGGGATGTATTAAAAAAAAACCAAAAAAAAAACTACACTAACACTTGTAACCGAATACATGACTTACAGCTGTTCCTTTTTGTGTCTGGTGAGTTTTCATTATTATTAATCAGGCAAATATTGCGTGTGTTTCCCGTTTCAAAAAGTTACAAAAAAAAAATAACCCTTTAATTTATTACAATATTAGTGCATCAACGAAATGTTAACGCTTTAGTTTTAGAACACTTTAAAAATGACTTAAATACATGTAAATATGTAAACATTATGTGAGTACTAAACACAAAGTACACACACAACTATCCGCAAGGGAACCATTGACTCAGTAGTATGGAATGTTCAAAACCAGCTGTCCGATGAGCTGGATTGTTCTCCAAAGACTTCCCTGCACATGTTGGAGTTTTCTTGATGGAGAGGAAGCTCGGAACCTTCCACAGTTTGCACTTTTCCTTTCCGGGACACATAGGCTTTGCCAGAAGCCAATCTCTCATATTTGGTAATGTATTGTCTGCAAATACAAGCACATTTCAGAGATGTTGGGTTAGCCGTGCAATTCATAGCTTTATCAGACTACATACTCAGGATAAATTAAGATGTCTGAAGGATGAGTAATGCGTTGCTCTGGCCTTTGGTGCATAAGGATTTAGTCACATTGACAGCTATACATTAAAGCTAATCAGGCCTTCTGTTATGGGAAACCAGCAATGCTCATTTTAGTGTGCCAGGTACTAGCATCATGTTCTGACTTATAATTATTTCTCTGTTACTTGTCTCACTACATCTCTCAGGCATCCCATCAGTTTTTCAATCTTTCCACGTTTATTTGAAGGGAAGCACAATTATACTGGAAATTGAATAATTGAATGAAGCCTTGAAAATCACTCATGTTAACCTATTTTTCATATGATGTTTAATGTTCTTTTAAATGCATAATAAAAAATCATCAAATGTCATCAAAGCTATAGGCAATATTTGGCACTCTCATAATGCTCTTACAGCAATAACTCTGGCAAAGCATCAAGAGATATGTATAAAATCTGGAGTGTCAAAGATTGCCTAACCCTCAGTCCTACTTAGTCCAGACAAAGGAGGTAAAATAGAAATATTGGGGGTTGATTTCACAAAATGTCACTGACTCCAATATTTGGTGCAAAATAGATGTCAGCTATTTTCATCTGTAGCTTATTGTGCCCTAACAGTAATTTTTGAATAAACACAATGGATTTATTAATTTTTCCACCACTGTATAACTGTCAGTCTTCATAAATAACAATTTCCGCAAAAATTGGCAGAATATAAAGAAAACCATCACTTTCTAGATAACTTGATAACGATCAAAATAATGAAAAACTTTAATT